CCCGCATCACTCCTCACTGCAGCTTCCTCAGTTTGCCAATTTTGACTCCTATAACCTATGTTATAGCAGTCACGTCTATCATCCTATTTGCATGCCCCAAGAAATGTCCTTAGTGCTACAATAAAACCCAAGCTTCTTCCTTGTGTTTCTTTCCTTTTGGTGTAGTGTTTTTGGTTCTTGAGGCAGGATTTCACTGTGTAGCCCAGGTTGGCCTTGAACTTGCAGGGATCCTCCTGCCTCAGCCACCCAAGTGCTGAGATTACAGGTGTGTGTCACCATGCCCAGCAGTAGGCCTCTTTTCTGGCTTTAATTTGTTTCCCTCTTCCCGGAGCCACCACCCTCTAGCCTTAGGGACCTTATTTGAGATTCTTAAATATGCTAAGCTCCCTTCTGCTTTAGGGTCTTTGAACACAGCGTTCTCTTGGGGAGGATGTGTTTCTCTTCGCGTGAGTGCACAGCTGGCTCTGTCTTAACTTTCATGCCCAATGTTATCACCTCACCCTTGAGATAGCTCCCTTGACTACAGGCTCTGAAGTTGCTCTTTCATCACTGCCTGTGGTTACTTTCGTTCTCAGCAAAGCATTTATTTCTACTGATCTTTTGTTCCAGCTTCCTTTGCTCAGAAACCTTCTGTCAACAGCAGAATTTGAAGGTCTTGAGGTCAGAAGCTCTGTCTATGTAGGTCATCACTGAGTGAATGCCCGGTGCCTAACACAGAGCCTGACACACAGTGGATGTTCAATTAATGCTTGCTGAATGAGCTAAAATCTAGGATTTCTCTGGACTCTTGTGCTTTTAAGGCACATATAGAGCATGTATAACCCAGTGCTAAACACAAACCCCTCTAGTGCCTCATTGCGACTATGTTTGGTATTAAAGTAATTAAGCCTCATCTGTACTACAGTTAGTACTTAAATAATTAAAACAGTGAGTTTATTAAGAGAGAAATAATCAGGATGCAATAAATAATCTATTGGATGGCACAGATACATTGATCTGAACCAAAGTAGAATTTTTTGTTATTTAAATAAGATGAGCACTAAAAAAATTAAGAGACTCACATAAAAATGAGAATCTCTGGGTTTTCCTGAAAACAATCAAAAGGTTTGGCTGGCAACTCAAATCAACCTTCTGACAGGGACTAGGTTACAGCACCGTGGACTCCTGGTGCTCTGGGAAGGTGTGCTCAGTGCCCCTTGCCAGCGCCACTCTGAATGGTACCTGCTGCTACCTGGCCCCAGTAGGCATCTGACTTTGAAGGTCTTGTACAAAACAGTGACATCCTTATCCCCGTGTGGAGGATTGTAAATGAGTTACACTTTCTCGTTCTCCTAGGTTTGATTCTTCTATTTCAAGCATTTCTGCAAAATGCACATGTGTTACACTATAATGAGAAAAAATCAATATGCATTATTTTTATAAGAGGTTATAATATAGACTGGAAATGTACAATGTGTATGAAATGTCCAGATAAAATGAGACTCAGTTTTCACTTGCTATTTACCCTGATACCCGAGGGGTAGCAATTCATTCTCTTTTGCTTTTTGGGATAAGGGTCCTTTGTCCTGATTTATTTGCAGGCTCTCCTTGTAAATACACAGCTTTGCCCAGAGCGAGGCACAATGGTTTCATCACAATAAAAAATGAGATAGAAGCCCAAGGATTCCAAGCCTGAGGCAACTTGATGGCTCACTTCATCCAAAACAAGCACCAGGAGAGAATTTCAACAACCTTAAATAAATTGGGGCATCTTTTGGAATTTCCTAGAAGCTCATCCATCTACACACTCTAGGAAGCTTGTGATTCAAACTATTCCTGGAGGTCATCCACCTCCCAAGTGGGGGGCAAAGAGCTGTATATTGGGGGTGTATTTGGTGTCTAGATTCTGCCCCAGAATAGCTAAGGTAAGGTGGTTGGGGCACCCCAGCCCTGAGGTGCTGGAGTCCTGTGCAGGGAACGTGTTGGAGGTGAAATTCCTGACTTCAGCTTGGGACAGGTTTGGAGTAGGCTCTTGGGAGAGCCTTTCAAAAGACAGCATTTGGATGGTCCTGCCCTTGGGAAAAGGTTAGTATAGGATGGTAGAGGGGACTATGAATAAAGAAAATCATTGTGAGTTCAGTGGGAGGCTCATGGAGCTGGATGCCATCTCATGAGATAGGTTCTAGTGACCAATTTTGACAGTTTACAATCATGATGATTAGGACACCAGCAACAGCATAAACACTTCTGAACATTTAGTGTGCCAAACTCTCAAAAGTGGTGACAACCATGCTACATAACTCTTAAGGTGGTTTCAAACCTCATATTTCTTTGTGATATAATTCTTCTCATTGGACAGAAGCAGAACCCAAGGTTCTATAGAAGTTCTCGGCTTGTGTAGGTTCAATAGTGAGTAGGTTGAGTTTAAAGAGCAGGTCTGGGGTCCCTAACCCACTCTTATCTCTCTCTGAATTGCCTAATCCTGGAGAGAAGACTGGGACCTGAGGGGGTTCTGGAGTTGACTGAGGTCTCTGAGAAACCTTGCACGTGCTGCAAAAGGGGACCCGTGCTGCAGATTCCGCACAGGGGACCTGTGCAAAGCCTGTCTGACCTTTCAAAAATAGTCCCATTCTTTTCTTCTTTCTTTGAGGAAAGGGAGGAGTGGATAAAGAGGAACACACAAGAGATGTCTCAGTAACAGGAGACTCAGCCTCAAAGATTAGGAAAAAAATTGCCATGTTGCTAAGAGGAAGAGGGAGGAAGAGAGGGAAAAAGATGGGGAAAGTCATTAGAGGCACTTCTGGGAAGATGTCCTAAAGAAATCATCAGAAAAGAGAATTTTTTTTTTTTTAGGAAAGAGAATTTTTTTTTTTTTTAGGAAAGAGAATTTTTTTAAAAGATGTTCTGCAAAACAAGATATTCATCAGAACATTATTTACAATAGCACATTACTGACAATAGCAACAGTAAAGGGCTGGATTAAGCAAATAAGAATTTCCACTCCTTGGAATAGGAGCAGCGCTAAGGAGGATCATTTTGTGGGACACTGAGAGTGAATGGGAAAGGGAGCTCACAGTGTGCTGCCAGGGGGAGAGGCCAGAGGCCTTGTGGTTATGCAGATAACCCCTTGCCTAGAGCTGGAGAAGGATAAAAAGGAACACAAAATGAAAAGGGTTGGCTCGTGAGGGAAAGAGGCAGCAGGAGGGGATCTTTCTGAATTATTTTCTTTTTCACTCTATTTTCTGTATATTCTAGAACATTCGTTCTGGAAATATCAAGTGCTACCCACTAGCAGGAGGGGACACAATTCTAAAGGATGGCTGAACATTTTAAATCATAGCTTTGCCTTTTAATAATTTACTGGCTTATATTTTTAGGTGTGAAAATGACATACTAGCTATATCTTAAACAGGAGTCCTTCTTTTTCAGAGACATGTATTAAAATATTCATGACTGAAAGGACGGGATGGCTGGCTGGCATGCGCTGCACACTCCTCTGGGAGGAGGTAGACAGTAGGAGGAGGCCAGGCTCCTGTAAAAAGGGGGAACTGCTAACTGCTGTGTGGGGTGATTGGAACCCTGTAGCTCACTAGTCTCTCTGTTTCCATCATAAGAAGTACAAGTATCTTATTTATTTATTTATTTATTTATTTATTTATTTATTTATTTATTTATTTATGTGGTACTGGGGATCAAACCAGGGACCTTATGCTTGCCAGGCAGTTGCTGATGCCACTGAGCTATCTCCCCAGCCCTTCTTTTTTGTATTTCCTCTTGGCTGCCTTCTACTTAAAACTTATGCTGGTGCATAATATGGTGACATAAAGCTTCCTGCCAAAACATGTATGTGCAGCATGAACAATAATCCTGAAAGGCAGTCACTGGGGTGAAATACATGAGCTGTATTTTTTTTTTTTTTCTTCCTCCTTCTTCGGTACTGGGGACTAAACCCAGGATCTTTGCACTGAGCTACATCCCTAGATCTTTTTTTTTTTTTTTTAATCCTAAGACAAGGTCTTGCTAGGTCCCTGAGTGGTCCAGGCTCAAACTTGTGATTCTCTTGCCTCAGCATACTGGAGTGCTGGCTAGAGCTGGCTTTCTGAGATAGAACCAAGTGAACAGACATGGTGCCATGGCGTAGACAGGAGAGCGCTCGTACAGGGAGGGATGCAGTGATGACACAGGGGCACAAGAAGGAAAGCGCAAGCCACGTACTGCAGCTCCCGGGGTGGACAGACCCGTCTCAGTGCCCTGAGAGCCCATCTCCGCAGCTTCAGCCCACAGGGTCAACTCACCTGCAGCTGTTCTTCCCCTCTGTGTGGAGGGAGGACTCAGCCCTCCTTAGGCCCAGGCGTGCGAAGGAGTGGAACAGGGTGAGTGCTACATCGCTCAGGCTGTAGACTCCATCAGGCTCATCGTACAGGTTCTCCCAGTAAGAGCGCAGGCCTGGGGTGCCTGTCGGGTAGTTCCCATACAGGTAGTAGTCCAATTGCCCAATGATCTCCTGATTCACCACAGCTTCAAACTTGCGGGCAAAGAAGGTGGGCCGGGCAGTCTGCTGCACTCGGGAGACAGCAAGAGCAAAACTCATCAGGTGTGACAGGAGAGGGGGACAGGGAGGAGGGGGTGTGTCTCACATCTCATAGTCTATCCATTGTGAGGATCCAAAAGCCAACCCTGACTCTGGCCACTTCTCTGTGGTCAGGTTCCGCACCAGATGGAGGCATGGGGACAGACCAATCCTACCTACCCTTGGTACCTATGAAGCACTGAAAGCAACACAGGCACTTAGTATGCATCATTGAAATGTCTGTTAAATAAATTAAATCCTAGATGCTTATAGCTGGGCTAGCTCTCAGAAATCATTCTGCAGAGGTCACAGACTAGTTGTTGAGGGCAAACACAGCCTGCAGGTGTATTTTAGTTGGCCAGCAGAATGTTCTAAAATTGAATTAGCTGGCAACGTTTAAAAAGAAGAGTCACAGAAACAATTTCTCTTTAAGCAGCAATTGATCTGGTGGCCCCAGGCTCAGGTTCCTATGTGGTAACAGCTGGTTGGAGCTTAGCAGCAGGATTCCTGTAGACAGGACAGGGGTTGTGCCACTGCCGCAGTCCCCGTCATCCCCCCTCGTGCTGCTGTGCTATTGCGGCGGACTTGTGCACTCACCAGGGACACGAAAGATGGACTGACCAGACTTTCCAGGAATGAGCTGGAAAATCTGTCTTTTTACAAGGCTTCCAGTTGCTTCTTTTGCCCACTAAGATTTGAGGATGCTGCAAACGATGCCAGGTGTTGGCTGCACCATAGTGCCACCTCCGTGTTTTACAAATTCAGATTCTAAGGTCTTTCTTGAGACCTACTGAGTCAACATCTCTTGGGTGAAGATTCCAGGACAAAAATATGGCCAGGTGACTGATGTGGTGCTTAAGGACCATGGGGAGAGGGGAAGAGACCTATCCAAGGATACAGCAAGTCAGTGACAAGCTGCGATTCAGGAGTCAGGAAGGCCAAAGAAATAAAAATAACCCAAGCATTTGCCACCTACGGGCTTTTGTACTATTTTCTAGGATTGGTAAATACCTTTAGTAAGGTAATAGCATAAAGTAAACA